TCTTGCCGTCGTTGGAAAAGGCGCCCCAAACCATTACACTTCGGCCACCGCCGACACGACTCGAGTAGCATTCTTCCGGCAAGCGGGAGTCATGCCAGTAATATTGAAACCCGTCGGGACCGTCTAGGTTGAACTTCTTCTCATCGGAGAAGACGGTAAACAGCTAATTCACAGATTTATTTAAGTACAGTGCGTTCCAACCAATTAGGGCCACCAAGGTTTCGTATCCTATGGCATTTACTTCGAACTATTGCTGTGAGCGATTCAGAACTAATATCCATGAATGCACAACGGAACATTTCAGCAAGTATCAAAGTTATTTCCGATCCATTGTCATCGCAGAAAATGCAAAAAAGTGATTTAGACCCGCGACAAACAGTTAGGGGACACGCCAACAAAATGAATGTTTGTGATGAAATTCACCTCGATTTCGCCAAAAATTGCTAGCTAGTAGTCTATCTCAGCTCCTTGAGCGAGGATAACGGCAACACAAACGCTTTGCCATTGAATTGGCAAGCTTCAAAAGGAAAGGAAGACCGATATCTGACCAGGGTTTCTTGATGGTTCGTACGAGCTCCAGTTTTGTCGAAAATTGGCGCCCGTTGAGATAGACAGCACGCGCGAGGACCACCCCACAGATTTTCGATAGGGTTTAGGTCTGGCGACAACGCAGGGTGGTCGAAAAGTGTAACGCCATGATCGGCGAAAAACTCCATCGTGACCTTTTCACGATGAATCGAAACCCCGTCTTGCATAAACACGAAGTCTTCACCGCAATTTGCATGTGCAAAGGGGAACATGTAGTTGGGCAACGTATCGATGTACTTTTCGGCCGTCTGCGGCCCTTCCAGGAAGGCAAGCTCCGACAAAGCTTTGCCAGAAAACGCACCCCATACCATGACGCCGTCTCCGCCTTTTTGACGAGTCAAAAATGCCTCTGGTTCCCTCCGAAGGTCGACCCAATGGTACTGAAACCCATCTGGTCCGTCGAGATTAAACTTTTTCTCGTCGGACCAAATGATTTCGGTCCAATTGGGTGACCTTTGGAGGTTACCCGTGCCATATTTGACTCGTCCTTGCATATGGGCCTTGGTTAGCTTGGGTGTGTGCTTGCGCTTTTCGAACTTGAGTGTCGGTGCTTCCTTGAGGCGCCGTTGTATTGTTCTTAGTGATCCATCGATGTTGAGGTCGGTTTTCAGCTTCCGGGCGGACTGGCCGGTCTTGGAAGCTTCTCGGATGAGGAGTCGGAACTCCTTCCCGACAACTGCACGCTTTGCTGGGCCTTGAAAACGAGTCCCATATCCCTCGGGGTCCTTCAAAATGGCACTGATGCAGTTTTTGCTGCGTCCAAGCTCTCGAGCAATTGCTCGGATGGACAATCCGCATCGGCGGAATGCCGACACGGATGCTCGCTCTTCCGGCGACATTATGGACCCATGTCCCATGCTACTAGTACGCACAGCTTGTTTTAACATACATGAATTGACTGTTGAAGTCTCACCTCAAATAAGTTTCAGATGCGGTAGCTACGAGCCTTAATGTTGAGTATCCCTTAATTCACTGTCACACCCTTCAAGGTGATTTTGGCGCGTAGATTTGAGCAAGTTAATCCTGGCTCAGGTTAGGTTATATCAAAATATCCCGCCAATGAAGCTCTTTTAAATGCACGTGGACTCCCTTTCATTGCTCTTATTGGTGGAATGATATCACAAAAAACGTAGTGACCCTATCCGGTTGGCGCGCACTGTCCTTAGCTGCAAACTTGAATTGCGCTCGTTTGTGTTCGGTTGTCAGTGCCGGACCAGACTTCGCTTTCGGTACTTCACGAATTTTGAGCTGCGTAAGATACGCAAAATAGTCGTGTGACTTGTCCTTGGTGTCATTGTTGCCGCGATCTTTCGGGCGGTTTGTTGTTTATGGATTGCAAGACGAAAGATGCGACGGGCATCGCGCTTTTTGAACACAAAGCGCCGTCCTGTGCGCTTTTTTGCCAGTGGGTTAATCTGCTTTTTCCATAGGTTGCGAAAAGCTTTCTCGCTCCGCCCGAGCTCGTTGGCAATCCAACGGTTCGACTTTCCTAGAGATGAAAAGGCTTTTGCCTTCCCAATCTCTTCGGCCGTCAAATGGCTGCCTCTTGGCATCTTCGTGGGCAAATTGGAGGAATGTCAAACATGTGCGCCATCCATTTGATGTGTGCTCTATTATGAGCCTCGCCATTGGCCGATATGCGTAGCCAATCGTCAGATTTGGCGCGGAAACGGTTGTGCGGCTATACTTTTGCACCACCCAAATTTTGAGTCTTGTCGACTGTCGTGGTGGGTTTTCGAGCACTGCATTCCGCACACACATGCATCTAACCGCATTTGCAACTGAATTCTTTGGTGCACGCGCCAACGAGATTGGTGACGATACAACATTGCAACATCCGAAATTATTTTTTATTTAACATTATAGAATATTTATTCGAAATAGTTGGTGCGGCTATAGTTTTGTTCCAGACTGTAGTACAGTCCGCGCCACTCAAATAGGACAATTAGTATTTTCACGATAACTTTGCCAATATTGCTCCAAATTGCGTCAAATTAGCACCGAAATCACCGCATTGATTGGTTCTATCGATTGCCGCCTGTTTCAGGGCCAAACGACAACACGTCATGTTCGCTGTCATTTTGGAATCTGACGACGAGC